TTACGTGCTTCTCGGTTCCGGGTCTTCGCGAAAAATAGCTGATAGGGTCGGGTCCGGGGTGTGGGGACGGAATAGACACGTTCGTTCATTTGCTTTGAAGCTGTGAAAAAAAAAAAGAAAAAGGAGCTCTCTCCTACATGTTTCCCAAAACACACCGGATTCCGTCCAATCTAGGGTGACCACCCGTCCCGCGACTCGCGGGACTGTCCTGCATTGAGGGCTCGTGTCCCACGTCCCGCAAGAAATACCAAAATCTTTAAAATGTCCCACATTTCACATTGTCGTAGCATTCACTACGCAAATTATGGCGCTTCTGAAGAGCGGGCCACGGGTAGCGCGAAGGTGATTATTAAACCTGTGAATCTCGATGGTGTGCCATTTTCTATACAAGCACTGCGGAGAGCGACCATCGTTCTTGCAGGAGACGAACGCGCATGTGCCGTTGCGCCTCTCCCCTTGATGGCAAAATATTGCGAGCGAAAATTGCTCTCCTAAAGATGAAAATTAACTAGTGTAATTATATGCATATCATACTGTGCAATGCAAAAAGGTTGTTCTGGAAAGCTTTTTTTTTTGGTGAAGACGGTCACACAAGGCAGAAAACCTGCAACTCACAAAGGTCGAAAAAACAACACAAGGTTCTAATTTTATGCAAGAGCATGTTAGTATAAGAGTAAGTATCGTCAGGAAACAAAATGCCGTAAAAGATTTACTGTTTCTTATTTCCCTTTCATGCATTGGGGTCTGCTGCAGTCGATTTTTATGTTTTCGACTTAGACACACTAATGCATAAGTTGTATGTCTTAGACATACAACTTAGTCTTACAACTTAGACATACAACCGTAATAAAATATTTTCCATTACAATTACACACAAAATGTATCACTGTGACTGAAAATAATTTTAGCCGCCACACAAGTTTAGGTGTATAATATGCTTTCGGACAGCACGGGATATCGGGGAGTGCGTGGTGGTGAACTTTTTAATACGTTTATCTTGAGTAGGGAAAATACCGTCCTCCTCTTACTCCCCCCCCCCTCCCCCCCCGGTCAGGGTGTCCCGCATTTCGCCTGCAGGAAGGTGGTCACCCTAGTCCAATCGTCATGACGTGAATATCGTCAACATTGTATATTGGATATGCTGTTTTATTTGAAACCTTTCTCAAATCCTGTTTGGATAACGCGGCACCGTGGGGTACATACAATATATGTTGTTTGACTGATGAGACTCATTGAATTTCATGTTGTGGGTGGGGAATATCCATGCAGTTCGGATATCCTGTGTGGGCAAATATTTTTGCCTTCATTGATTGACACGGCTGAGTGTATGGTGCAGTAAAACGAGGAACATAAAATGAAACAAACATTCTAGTTGCATTTGTTCTGTCGTGCATGGACTCACCAAAACAGCTTTAAAATATTTGTTTTTGTTCCCAAAAATACAGCACTGCTTTCTTAAAGGGATTGTCCGGTCAAATTTCGTATTCGAGAAAACAATTTAATATCATTGTTATTGCCTCGAGACGCATCATATGTGCAATATCTGAATTTTATATGCCCCCCTGTGTGAGTAATTGAATTTATACTGCTCCAATCGCATTCTAGCGTAAACGCTGCTTTCGTTGGCAACATTGAAGCTCTGACGTCACAAAACACAAGGCGAGCATTTTTGTCTCGTCGTTTGCCTGCGAGTGAACGCCTCAGCGTGCTTCGTTTTTGTTGTTGTGCTTGACTTGTTTCGTGGTTGGGTGAGACTTTTGTCACGCGATTGGGTGCCACAACTACCGGGCAGCACATGTGAGCCAAGACATGACGTTCCACACTTTTCCGCGAGACGTGCAGTGACGAACAAAGTGGATCGTCGTCGTGCGTAGGGACTGGGTTCCCGTCAAGATCGAGATCCCGCTTATGCAGCAATCATCTCACAGAAGAGAGCTACGAGCTGAGCTCGTAGCTCTCTTCGGTTCGGCGGACGGAAGGCTTGTAAGCTGAGGTGTGATGCTGTGCCAACGATGTTAAACTACGTCCACCCACTCCTCGCCCAAATCGGATCTGTCAATTTAGGTCTGTTCGATTTGCCTGAACTGGCTGAACTAGTTCGGCAGTGCAGGAACTGGTGCATTCGATTCAACCGGAAGTTGCACGACCGATGCACTGGCGCGTTCGATTCATCCCAGTTCTGATTGAGTTCAATGTTGGTTCAGACCCAGTTCCTCAAAATCTTGCACCGGCTCCGGACTCGGTTCAGCGTCCGTGCAGAAGCAGACGACAAGAGCAGGCGGCGATAGCAGAACTCCTCGTCCGTCTCTGCTCGCGGTGCCATTTTTCGCAGCGCTTGCTCAAATGTCTGCGATGTTTAACAATAACGCCGATACGGAGGTTGCATTTCCTCTCATTTATGATAATAACGTACACGCGGTGGACGCGGAATTGAGATCATAACCGAGGGTAGGAATTTGCTTGATTATGATATTCTACAAGCGTTTTAGGCACCTGCTCTCGTAGGTTTGGCTCCCTGTGGTGAGTGTTGAAGTATTGGCTCACGTAAATTGTTTCTTTTTGATGCTATGTTGGGATCCCCAATGTTGATATTCTTCCTTACAGACACGGGAAAGGTATTGCCCTCTTGATAGTCCCCGCCTTCAGTTGCTCTTGAATGCATATTGACGACTCCGATACATTGTAGAGGTCTAGGATTTAGTGCGTTGGCACTCGCATGTCCACGTAGCTGAGCATAACACTGCACGCTTTGTCCGCTGTGGACGCCCACTAACGGGCCTGGGAAAAACGCCGAGAATCGGCATTTTTTGCCTATTCTCGCTTCAACTTGATGCCAAAGTTACGGTCGATAACTGTCTTGGCCAAGACGCTGCCGTCAGGCCTTCGTCTTCAAGGTGACCGGTATACCGACCGCGCGCTGTCGCCAGTGACTCCCGACGCAAAATCATCCTGATGCCGCGAACCTATCGTCGAAATGCAAAAATTCCCTTTGAGGGGCATTTGCCACTACCTTCTTGACTTGCAACCGACTATAGTTCAGAACTTCCTGGCCGAATCAGACAGACCTTGATTATGCAGAAAAACCAAAACCAACAGCTTGGCCATCTCGAAATGATACCAGAAGTTGTATTTAGCATGCGTGCAGCCCAATATCTCTTTGACGCGCGTGTGAAAATGGAGCGTAGCTGCGATTCACCAAGCTCGTTCAAGTCAAGTGACGACGTGCATTTGAACGGTTCGCCGTTTGCCTTCGACCCGCGGACGTCGCCTCTGAGGGAATGACCCGCAGCCTCATCACCGATCCAGTGGATCCGCCGAAATGTGTACCCAGATGCCGCTTCGTGTACCTAAGTGCCGCTTCAGAGGTGAAATCTGCATCCTTTGCTTTGCAAGCGCCCCTAGTTCGATCGGCGACCGTCGCCGTTGTGTTTGCGCGAAACGGCATTCGTTTGCTCGAAGCTTATGGCTATCTGGGAGTAATATCCTGCTAAAAGGCGTGAATTTTTTTGCACGTGCTTGGGAACTGCATTAAGGGGACCGTATTCCTGTAGGGTACTGCCTAGGAGACTATATAATTCGAAAAAAATAGAAGACATCCATCGACCAACGCTTGTTATCCCGACCATCCGACAAACCTTTGCGTTTTGTGACGTCACGCAGCACCTACGGATGTCAGCCATTGACACTGGCGAAATTCGGAGTGCAGTTTCGTACATAGGATCATGAAATGTTTAATTAATAACGGGAGATCATATATTAAAATAAAAATGACGTTTGTCTATATGAAGGCTCCCTCGATGTAACGAGCGCAAGAACTTAAGTACTTCCGGTTTCGACCGGACAATCCCTTTAAAGA